AGTGTGTTCAGTGTTCGGTTAATGATCAGTGCGTAGTGTTCAACCTCTCACGCAGTGTGTTCAGTGTTCGGTTAATGATTAGTGGGCAGTGATGAACCTCTGACGTAGCGTGTTCAGTGATCGATTAATTTTCCGTGCGTAGTGTTCAACCTCTGACGCAGAGTGTTCAGTGTTCGGTTAATGATCAGTGCGTAGTGTTCAACCTCTCACGCAGTGTTTAGTGATTGATTAATGCTCAGTGCGCAGCGTTCAACCTCTCACGCAGTGTGCACACAGTTCAACAGCTCACTCAGTATGTTCAGTGTTCAACAGGTAGGTAACATTTAAACCAATATATCATGTCTGAGTAGCGAGTTACGACCAAGTTCAAATACCATTGTGATAACCCCAATTGGTTGTCATGGTGACCTCTCCATTATATTTAACTTACGATTATTCTTATGCTCCTGTCATTCATTCCTGTTATTCATTCTTCTGTCATTCGCTGTTGTTGTTATAGATTCAGCTACTCGGAACAAGTTCCAAGTAGCACGGGCTATGGTGAGCCCGTAGTGGACTTACCTGGCACAGGAGCGGGGCAAGTAGCACGGGCTATGGTGAGCCCGTAGTGGACTTACCTGGCACAGGAGCGGGGCAAGTAGCACGGGCTATGGTGAGCCCGTAGTGGACTTACCTGGCACAGGAGCGGGGCAAGTAGCACGGGCTATGGTGAGCCCGTAGTGGACTTACCTGGCACAGGAGCGGGGCCCTGTTCTGTCATTCGTGTTCCTTTAATTTATGGCTGACTTGCATTCCTGTAATTAAGCTTTGTCATCCATTTCCCCAAGCTTGACGTTCACGGTCCTCCTCCAAGCTTGACAATCACGGTCCTCCTCCAAGCTTGACAATCACGTTCCTCCTTCCAAGCTTGACAATCACGTTCCTCCTTCCAAGCTTGACAATCACGGTCCTCCTCCAAGCTTGACAATCACGGTCCTCCTCCAAGCTTGACAATCACGGTCCTCCTCCAAGCTTGACAATCACGGTCCTCCTCCAAGCTTGACAATCACGGTCCTCCTTCAAGCTTGACAATCACCGTCCTCCTTCAAGCTTGACAATCACGGTCCCCCTCCAAGCTTGACAATCACGGTCCTCCTCCAAGCTTGACAATCACGGTCCTCCTTCCAAGCTTGACAATCACGGTCCTCCTCCAAGCTTGACAATCACGGTCCTCCTCCAAGCTTGACAATCACGGTCCTCCTCCAAGCTTGACAATCACGGTCCTCCTCCAAGCTTGACAATCACGGTCCTCCTCCAAGCTTGACAATCACGGTCCTCCTTCAAGCTTGACAATCACGGTCCTCCTCCAAGCTTGACAATCACGGTCCTCCTTCCAAGCTTGACGTTCACGGTCCTCCTCCAAGCTTGGTGAAGACGTTCTCGGGCTCCGGAAGGGAACTTATTGATTTCCGTTACCGTAAGCTGGAGGTCAAGGTCACCAATATTCCCGCATCTCTGAGGTGCAGGAATGTCTTCACTCCCCTCCGTGGCTCGTCTTGAAGAAGTTGGGCAATTGAACCGGGACTCGTTCGCAGAGTTACTTAGTAATATTTGGTAAAGATTTGTAGATGTTTCAGTGCCTGGGGCCAGATTCACGAAAGCACTTACGCAAAAACTTACGAACCTGTACATCTTTTCTTAATCTTTGGTGGCTTTGTTTCCAATTATTAAACAGTTAATGAGCTCCGAAGCACCAGGAAGCTGTTTATAACAATAACAACAGTTGAATGGGAAGTTTTCATGCTTGTAAACTGTTCAATAAATGTAACCAAAGCCGTCAAAGATTGAGGAAAGATGTACACGTTCGTAAGTGCTTGCGTAAGTGCTTTCGTGAATCTAGCCCCTGGTTTAAGGTGTAGGTAAGAATGAGCCTTTGTCTTGGTGCCGTTCGAAGACATTTTGGATGGTAGTTGACATACTCTGTAATGGTTGGTTGTTTTACAGGAACGATTAAGTGGGTTAAGAAGATTGTAATCAAATAAATAACGTCCCGAAAATCTATTAATCTCTACCTAATCTACCCAGGACACATATTACTCTTGCCAACAATGCTGTGCAAGGCTTCGACAATTTCCAGTTATTATAATAATGGCAGTTTTGGTGAGTTGGGGAGGAGTTAATGCATCTTTCTACCGCGGTGTCTCTGGAGGTTCTCTTAACAATGCCGCGAAAGACTTAACATCTTATGTTCTCTCTATATATAGTTCTCTGCCTCGGTCTCTCCTAAAATTCAGACAAATCTCCGAAGCTCAAGATTCCTCCAAATTTCAGTCGAAATTTGATCCAAGAAAGTTCCCCACACTGGCTAATTTGACGGCTCATCCTCATCCTCAATACTGCATCTTCAATATTCCGGATGATCTCCATAATTGGGGAAAAGGATAAAGGCTTATTGGAAAATGTTTAGCGTCCAAAATGAGCCTTTGAAATATAAATCGTTTGCAACTCGTTTACGAGAGCTAGACTTGTTCAGTCTCGTAACGTGAACATAATAAAAGGGTAACTTAACGAGGGTTTTAATCCATCAATGGGCACACAAATTATTAATATTGTTATTGATATGATACAATTTGTCAGACCACGAGTAATACCCACTAGAAGCACTGAATTTAAGAGTGAAGGATTTAAACCTCCATTGTAGCGGGATAATAGCTCTCTAATAGACTTATAAAACATATTCAACAGAATATGTAACTAAGAATATGTAATAGAAAATGCAATAGAATCGAAAGTAACTGAGAACAAGTGTAGTTTTGGCCCCTTATGTCTTTTCTAAACAATGGAACTTAATATTATGTTGACGTTTCGCTCCCTTTGTAAGATGTTTTTCTTTATAACTAGCCAATTTCTTGTCAATATAAATCCCACAATAATAACTTGGGTGTATTGTGTGAAGTGTCGCTGTCGTCCGGCACTTGTCAGTTGCTCCTCCCTCTCCTCAGGTCTCTTGGTGTTGATTAGAACACTTTAATCCAAAGCTGACTTTCAGCATCTTAGTGCGCGGCCCAGGGCGGCCCTATACCATCTTGAGGTGTTAGCGTGCGGCCCAGGGCGGCCCTATACCTTCTTGAGGTGTTCACGCGCGGCCCAAAGCGGCCCTATACCATCTTGAGGTGTTAGCGCGCGGCCCAGGGCGGCCCTATACCTTCTTGAGGTGTTCACGCGCGGCCCAGGGCGGCCCTATACCATCTTGAGGTGTTCACGCGCGGCCCAGGGCGGCCCTATACCATCTTGAGGTGTTAGCGTGCGGCCCAGGGCGGCCCTATACCTTCTTGAGGTGTTCACGCGCGGCCCAAAGCGGCCCTATACCTTCTTGAGATGTTCACGCGCGGCCCAGGGCGGCCCTATACCTTCTTGAGGTGTTCACGCGCGGCCCAAAGCGGCCCTATACCTTCTTGAGGTGTTAGCGCGCGGCCCAGGGCGGCCCTATACCATCTTGAGGTGTTAGCGCGCGGCCCAGGGCGGCCCTATACCATCTTGAGGTGTTAGCGCGCGGCCCAGGGTGGCCCTATACCATCTTGAGGTGTTAGCGCGCGGCCCAGGGCGGCCCTATACCATCTTGAGGTGTTAGCGCGCGGCCCAGGGCGGCCCTATACCATCTTGAGGTGTTAGCGCGCGGCCCAGGGCGGCCCTATACCACCTTGAGGTGTTAGCGCGCGGCCCAGGGCGGCCCTATACCATCTTGAGGTGTTAGTGCGCGGCCCAGGGCGGCCCTATACCATCTTGAGGTGTTAGCGCGCGGCCCAGGGCGGCCCTATACCTTCTTGAGGTGTTCACGCGCGGCCCAGGGCGGCCCTATACCTTCTTGAGGTGTTCACGCGCGGCCCAGGGCGGCCCTATACCTACTTGAGGTGTTCACGCGCGGCCCAGGGCGGCCCTATACCATCTTGAGGTGTTAGCGCGCGGCCCAGGGCGGCCCTATACCTTCTTGAGGTGTTCACGCGCGGCCCAGGGCGGCCCTATACCTTCTTGAGGTGTTCACGCGCGGCCCAGGGCGGCCCTATACCTTCTTGAGGTGTTCACGCGCGGCCCAGGGCGGCCCTATACCTTCTTGAGGTGTTAGCGCGCGGCCCAGGGCGGCCCTATACCTTCTTGAGGTGTTCACGCGCGGCCCAGGGCGGCCCTATACCTTCTTGAGGTGTTCACGCGCGGCCCAGGGCGGCCCTATAGGTCCTATAGACAGGACTGGTGCTTTTTTTACAAGTTGTGTTGTTCTTGCAAGTGGTGGTGGTGGTGTTATTTTGTTCTTGTTAGTGTTGTTGTTACTACACAGAGAAATCTCATTAATATGATATAACAAAGAACAAATCCACAAGGGCCGTGATGAGGGTTCGAACCCATGCGGTGAGTGTCCCCAGACGGGCTCTAGTCATTGACCATGTCGTAGTGCCGTCGACTAGAGCGCGTCTAGGAACACCCTGCGCGCAGGTTCGAAACCTCATCAGGGCTCCCCTGGATTTGTTTGTTGTTTTTGTTGCTAGTGGTGTTGTTGTGGGTCCTGCTAGAGCTATAGGAGACCTGGGCGACGACCGGGCCGCGGGGACACTAAGCCCCGAAGCCAACTTAAGGTAAGGTATCATTATTTATAATACTATTGTCACTACTTTATTTGAATCACTGTAGTTACTAAATACAATACATTTATGATGATATTAAATGTATTTACAAAAAATATCGTTCAAGGGTGTATACATTGGGAAGGATGTTGTATTAACTGTAGTCAGTAGTGTGTATTACATAAATCATAGTACTCGCAGCATCTGAAGCATCATTCATCACTCTCCACACACACACACACACACACACACACACACACACACACACACACACACACACACACACACACACACACAATATCCCTCCAATTTGCACAATGTATTTGAAAATGTGTTTACTGCGCTTGATTCACTAAATATTTCGAATCAACAGAGGCATGATATATGGAAAAAAATTAACACAAATTTTAGATATTTTTTTTTAATATTCAGTCATACACAGTTAATCGTAAATTATAATGCCCAAAAATCCAAGTCAGTATAATAGATTGTTTTAAGAAACAATGAAACAAAAACATTAACAAGACATTTCTGAACCAATTACACGAGTCTCTGAATTGCACAGAAAAAAAAACTTCATGAACAATGAACAAAAACTTCATGAACAAAATTTATTTAACGTATTTATACAATGGAAATAAGTTTGGTTATAATATACTGCCATCTCTCTGTATTGGAATTAATAATAATTGAAATTGAAATTGAAATTGAAATTGAAATAAGTTTATTGATGTAAAATACACACAAAGGGATGAGGTAGCTCAAGCTATTCATATGCAAATGCGTATGGAAATGAATATGGAAATATAGACAGCATAATTAAGCAAACAGTGGTTTACATAAAAAAATAATTAATGATGCATAAAATCCTATTGGAAAGAAGAAAATTTATTGCAGTCATTTTGAAGCATTGAATTAAAACAAACGACAAAACAACAGCCATACAGATATTAAGCACTAGACATATATAATACCGTATTCGAAAATATAAAATGTATTAAATAACATTATTTAATCATTTAAAGATTAATATTTTATATAATATAATATATATAATATACTTAATATATATTTTTATATAATATACAATATCATTTAATATTAATAATAATTTGCCCTGCTTACCAAAATTGTTATACACAATTGGACACTTAAGTGAAATAGGGAGGATTATGAAATATGGTTTAATTTCGTTTCTCACAAAAGGAGGAAAATTTTGAGGTCACACGAAATGAACGGGACAACAGGAAACAAAATTAACCAGATAAAATTATATTAGCGGACACTATTGTTCACAACACGTAAAAGACAGCAGCTCAAATTATTTTGCAAAAAAAAAAAAATATATAAAAAAATTCAGGTTAGTAATTATCATTGAGGACTCCCTGGCCCTTCCCTGCCAATCATGCCCTTCTACCCTCCCCACTCTGGGTCTCCAGAGTCCTGATTGCCACTCATATTGCCAGATGATTGATCAGAGAGGATAAACTTTTATGTCGAAAACCTGAATTGTGTCTACTTATATCTCTGTCTCTTTCTCTCTCTCTCTCTCTCTCTCTCTCTCTCTCTCTCTCTCTCTCTCTCTCTCTCTCTCTCTCTCTCTCTCTCTCTCTCTCTCTCTCTCTCTCTCTCTTTCTCTCTCTGCCCTTTCTCTTGACTGAGGGAGAATACACATGTACTAGGCCAAGCTCTCCTCTCTAACCTTACAATCGCTCTTCAACATTAAAACATCACTTCAGAAAACTCTTTGATTTCCACAAAACGTTGACTTTTTGAGTCCAAGAGCAGAATTTGTGACTATAGGGAGTTGGGTGAGATGAGAGTCATAGAGAAAGGAAGGGGAAGGAGTGTGGGAAAGGAGACAGGAGAGAAAGATAATCTAGAAAAGCGGGAATTGACGTGATGTCCAGTTTTCTAATTGTGGGGTCCTCGGTTAGGTTAGGCTCGGACAATTTAGTACATCAATTTAGTGACGTTGTGAGCGTTCGAGAGGACGGATTGGTTCCTTCACATACACAGCCGCCGAATAACAGACAAAACACAAGCCTTTACGTAAATTATATATATTCTATAAGATAATGTGCTATATGAAGCAAAATTAATCGATTAGTAATGAAAAGTATTATTAAATATTCAAATATTATGATCAAATTAGCCTTCCATTTTCGTGATTTTTTTTCATGATTTCGTAGCATTATCAATCGTATATTTTGAGCTTAAATTATCTCTGTCTACTTGGAGGTAATCAGGAAGTTATCTTAATGTGATTTCTGGGTGATGACAGCTGTTTTGTAGGTGACGACAGCTGTTTTGTAGGTGACGACAGCTGTTTTGTAGGTGACGTTAGCTGATTTGTAGGTGACGACAGCTGTTTTGTAGGTGACGACAGCTGTTTTGTAGGTGACGACAGCTGTTTTGTAGGTGACGTTAGCTGATTTGTAGGTGACGACAGCTGTTTTGTAGGTGACGACAGTTGTTTTGTAGGTGACGGTAGCTGCTTTGTACGTGACGACAGTTGTTTTGTAGGTGACGATAGCTGCTTTGTACGTGACGACAGTTGTTTTGTAGGTGACGACAGTTGTTTTGTAGGTGACGATAGCTGCTTTGTACGTGACGACAGCTGTTTTGTAGGTGACGATAGCTGCTTTGTACGTGACGACAGTTGTTTTGTAGGTGACGACAGCTGTTTTGTAGGTGACGACAGCTGTTTTGTAGGTGACGACAGCTGATTTGTAGGTGACGACAGCTGTTTTGTAGGTGACGACAGCTGTTTTGTAGGTGACGACAGCTGATTTGTAGGTGACGACAGCTGTTTTGTAGGTAACGACAGCTGTTTTGTAGGTGACGAAAGCTGTTTTGTAGTTTTTTTTCTCCTACAAAAACGGTTTTGTAGGAGACGAAAGTTGATTGGAGATCACCTTTATTCAAGCGATGTGCTTCCTGAAGTAGGCGAAGGCGACCAAGAGATGGCTAGTATATACAACCTTGAGACCCTCCCTCGTGGATCTTCAAGACAGGAAAGGGACCCCCCCTAAAGTGACCTAGAATTGACTTGGATTGGACATTGACCAAAAAGTGACTTGGATTGGACATTGACCAAAGAAGTGACTTGGATTGGACATTGACCAAAAAAGTGACTTGGATTGGACATTGACCAAAAAAGTGACTTGGATTGGACATTGACCAAAACAGTGACTTGGATTGGACATTGACCAAAGAAGTGACTTGGATTGGACATTGACCAAAAAAGTGACCTGTAGACGACCCCCGGAAGTGACCCCCACAAATATAGGTGACCTTCAGTAGACCAGAAGACCATTAGGAGATGACCTGGTTGCAGCCTGGAGAAAACTGGCCTGTAATTGCCTTGTTGTTGTTGGCTTAGAGACAACCAGAAGGAGATCTTTAGAGTCGCTAAAGATGACCTTAAGCTGACCCGAAGACAGTCACAAGATAACCTGGTGGTTGACCTGGGCAAGGTCGAGGCTCGGTGCCGGCATTGACCACATTACCCAGTCATCATTTCCATGAACTCTGCAATAAGAGAACAATTATATATTACTATATATAATTGTTAATTTAATAATAATTGAACAATAATTATATATAAGGTGCAACAGTAATCTTAAGATAATAATAATAATAATAATAATAATAATAATAATAACGAAAATAATTCATTACGATACAAGAAATAGTCAACTCCTGAAGGCACACCCGACCCAGCAAGAACCTTTAGTTGAAGACAGTCTTTTTCCCTCACAGCCATTCAGTACCGCCTTCCCCCGTGCCTTGGGCCACCACGGTCCCTTTGAAGCAATTCCTTCGTCAGCATCAGAGTCTAACCCGCCGTCAATTTCACCGTCTTTCTGTCAATGCCAGGTCTCATACGCTGTCAGTGCCACCATTTGTCCTCCCTGTGAGTGCCAGTGCCGCCCTGGCTCCTACCAGCTCACCATCAAAGTCGACAGTTCCGGAGCCATCTTCGTCAATCTCCTCAATAATGCCGTCCAGGTCCTCGTTTGAAAGCTTATTGTCGAGTTCCTTGAGGATCTCCTTCAGCGTACTGGTGGTGATGTAGCCGTTGCCTGGCGGGGAGAAGGTTAGGTTAGGTTAGGTTAGGTTAGATTCACAATATATCTTTACGCCACAGTGGATAACCTTGATTGTTAATGACAAATATATTTTAGCTACCGTGATACAAATGGTTTTCCTAACGACTAATTGGCCCACAACAGACCCCGGACTCATCGGTCTCTACCCGGGAATCGAACCCTGGGCCATTCGAGTGGGCGCCTACCGAAATCTCGCATATATGAATGAATTTACGAATAACTCATTTTAAATCGATTTCGATTATGTCAGAGGGCAAAAAATGCCAAGTACGTTCATCATGAGCGAGCGTTCGTCCACTTGAAGTACACGTTACAGCTGGGACGAGGTACAGTGACACACACTCTACCTACACCCACCTACACTAGCCAGCACCCACCTGCACTAGCCAACACCCACCTACACTAGCCACCACCCACCTACACTAGCCAGCACCCACCTACACTAGCCAACACCCACCTACACTAGCCAACACCCACCTACACTAGCCAGCACCCACCTACACTAGCCAGCACCCACCTACACTAGCCAACACCCACCTACACTAGCCAACACCCACCTACACTAGCCAACACCCACCTACACTAGCCAACACCCACCTACACTAGCCAGCACCCACCTACACTAGCCAGCACCCACCTACACTAGCCAGCACCCACCTACACTAGCCAGCACCCACCTACACTAGCCACCACCCACCTACACTAGCCAACACCCACCTACACTAACCTCCACCACCCACCTACACTAGCCAGCACCCACCTACACTAACCACCACCCACCTACACTAACCACCACCCACCTACACTAACCACCACCCACCTACACTAACCACCACCCACCTACACTAGCCACCACCCACCTACACTATCCACCACCCACCAACACTAACCACCACCCACCTACACTAACCACCCACCTACACTAACCACCACCCACCTACACTAACCACCACCCACCTACACTAACCACCACCCACCTACACTAGCCACCACCCACCTACACTATCCACCACCCACCAACACTAACCACCACCCACCTACACTAACCACCACCCACCAACACTAACCACCACCCACCTACACTAGCCACCACCCACCTACACTAACCACCACCCACCAACACTAACCACCACCCACCTACACTAACCACCACCCACCAACACTAACCACCACCCACCTACACTAACCACCACCCACCTACACTAACCACCACCCACCAACACTAACCACCACCCACCTACACTAACCAACACCCACCAACACTAACCAACACCCACCTACACTATCCACCACTCACGTACCTTCCCTGTCGTATAGTCTGAAAGCCTCTTTCAGTTCCTCGTACATGGCCTCGTCGTCGTCGTCATCGTCAACCATGTAGCAGCTGAGAATGGAGACGAAGTTGTCGAAGTTCACCTTTCCCATCTCTGGAGAGCCAAGTCCACCAGTTAATGTGTATTATACATGGCAAAATACATAACATTCATTGATAAAACACATATTATTCATTGGTAAAACACATATTATTCATTGATAAAACACATATTCATTTTTAAACACATATCATTCATTGATAAAATACATAAGTCATTGATAATATATATATCATTGATTGATAAAACACATATCATTCATTGGTAAAACACATATCATTCATTGGTAAAACACATATCATTCATTGGTAAAACACATATCATTCATTGATAAAACACATATCATTCATTGATAAAACACATATCATTCATTGATAAAACACATATCATTCATTGATAATATTATATCATTCATTGAAAAATACATATCATTCATTCATTCGTTAAAAAATTATATCATGAATAGCGCATATGTTATTTATAATATGTAAATAACATGTGAATACATATGTATATCATACATAGACAAAGTTGTGGGACAAAATAGATACATAATTGCTAGGAGCTATATATATATATATATATACTGGAGGTCAATATTTATCAAACTAAATATGTTAAAACTTCATTAACAAGGACGAGGGGATTTGTGACATGCATTGAGTGGGAAGCGTGAGAGCCAGTGTAATGACCCAGTGTAATGACCCGGCTTAATGACCCAGTGTAATGACCCAGTGTAATGACCCGGCTTAATGACCCAGTGTAATGACCCAGTGTAATGACCCAGTGTGATGACCCGGCTTAATGACCCAGTGTAATGACCTTGACATGTCACACTTGTTTCCCCTCTTCTTGAGGGCTTCCAAACTTAACGCTAAAAAGTGTGCTCTCTCTCACCTACTTTAACACCTCATCACTTAACACTCTGCAGAACCCCTCCTAAGTGCTTGTATCCCTTAAGGGTACACTTAATGTTGTTTCATCAACACTTACCTCCTGACCAACTTATCTGTTGTGTACCTGAACACTTAGTATCAGAGATATTACTGGCAACTTTTTTTTTTGTCTTTTATACTTCTTCTGACACTTGAAATGATTCTATATTTGGCGAGCCTCTTTGAAGGTACACGCTATCTGCACTTAAGTGCATCTCAAGGACTCACTTGTAAAGCACTCCATCCTTCTGATGGCTGTATACTCTACTCTTGCTGTGCCACACTGACCACTTGGCCACTTTGCTATGTTCTTGCAAACATATACTTTGTTGTGTTCGTGCAACATAACTTGCTGTGTTCTTGCAGTATACTTTGCAATGTTCTTGCAGTATACTTTGCAATGTTCTTGCCATATATATTGTGTGGTTTGGCCAACATTTTTCAGCCACGTTATTGTGACTCCACATCTGCATTCTTGCCATATACTTTGAAACAGTTTAAGAATGCCCACCTGACACGTCGCAAACCTGTTACACACCAGACACTTCACACACACACACACACACCTGCTTCCCACCTAACCCCTGATAACTTACTCGGCGAGTCGAACATCTTGATGCGTTTGGTGACGTCCTCGTGTGTGTACTTGAGGTCCAAGGTGTTGAGAATGGCCACGATCTTGTCCGTGGGGACGAACCCAGACTTGTCGTGGTCGAACATGGAGAAGGTCCGTCTCAACACTGCCCAGGGGGAGAGAGAGAGAGAGAGACAGATGAATAACGAGGAACAGACGGAAAAAAAGGGGGTTATATTGAGGGGGAAAGCGAAACAAGGAAAGGGGGAAAGAGAGGAGGAGGAGGAGAAGCAGGGGAATATAGAGGGATGGTGAAGTATGGAAGGGAAAAATACATGGCAGACGAAATAAAGATTAGCGGAAATTAGGAAAAAATGGTGAATTGTGGGGAAGAGATGCTTCGACTTCTTCACCGGGAGGAAGCCAAAAAGAAACTCAATAAGGAAATAGGAAAATGGGTTAACTGTGAAGAGAAGAAAGCATATTTTTTAGGGGATACAGAGGTTATTGTTAATGATAGATATAATCTCAGGAAGAGCAGATAGATATACCTGTGAGCTAAGACGGTACAACTCTCATGTCATCTATGCAACACTGCAATACAGCATCCTGATTTCGTGAATCTGATCGTCCATCAAAAACATTCATTCAGAGGAGAAAACATGCAACCTTTTATTCTTTTTCTCGTTTCCACCTTTTTTCATTTTTCTTGATTTTTAAACTAAGACTAGGGGTTCATAAGGGATGTCAACTGACGTACCTAGTGAAACTGCAAGCAAGAGCTGTTATCCTACCTTATCTCATCTGAAGCCTGCACCTAGAAACTCATTTATTTCATGAGAATGTACTTAGAAACTGTCACATAAGGAACAATCATATAAGAAACCTGGTGAAACTGCAAGCAAGAGCTGTTATCCTTCCTCAGCTAAGTTGAAACCTACTCCTAGAGGCCTATTTATTTCATGAATCTTTTATATATATCTGTAGGAATAGCCTTTATTCATTAACAACATTAGGTAATAATTCTATAAGGAAGAGGAAGAGCCTGTAGTCCGCTGTGTGCTAGAGCCTTCATGTGATCAGTTGACCTGATATCCCGTGTATAAACGTATTGGGCGATCTCTCTCTCTCTCTCTCTCTCTCTCTCTCTCTCTCTCTCTCTCTCTCTCTCTCTCTCTCTCTCTCTCTCTCTCTCTCAAGAGGAGCACACTTGTGTGTTACTCACCTTGCATCTTCTCTTCAGTGAGGTTATCCTGAAAGTAAAAAATTATTGATTATTGGTTTGTAAATATTAGACAGAGCCGTGTGTGTGTGTGTGTGTGTGTGTGTGTGTGTGTGTGTGTGTGTGTGTGTGTGTGTGTGTGTGTGTGTGTGTGTGTGTGTGTGTGTGTGTGTGTGTGTGTGTGTGTGTGTGTGTGTGTGTGTGTGTGTGTGTGTGTGTGTGTGTGTGACCAGTTTGAAACAACAATAGTGGCGATTATTATTGCACGTGCCCCATTTTATGACTGGAGTGAGACTTAAGAAGTTTTCTTCAGAGTATCTTAGAGAATGATAATCGGTGGAATAGGAGATATAGACTGCAACATTTTTTACCTGAATGATAAGGTGGTCATATACCTATAAAATGACGCGACCTAACCCACATTTTCTCTCAAAATCACTGCGCACATTTTTGTATTTCAGTTCGTTGTGTTCTTCTTAAGAAATCTGGAAGACATGCTATTAAATCATGTTCCCACCAGGTATTCAGCGGTTATCTTGAGGTTATCTTGAGATGATTTCGGGGCTTTTTAGTGTCCCCGCGGCCCGGTCCTCGACCAGGCCTCCACCCCCAGGAAGCAGCCCGTGACAGCTGACTAACTCCCAGGTACCTATTTACTGCTAGGTAACAGGGGCTGATTCAGGGTGAAAGAAACTTTGCCCATATGTTTCTGCCTCGTGCGGGAATCGAACCCGCGCCACAGAATTACGAGTCCTGCGCGCTATCCACCAGGCTACGAGGCCCCCTTCTTACTGCTCACCTAATACCACAACGGCTCCAGGTTCCTAACTGTAAATCTTCTTGATAAAAGGAAACCGTATTTTGCACGAAACGAGCTCAGTAAATGATGGTTGGGTCCGCAGGTTGTCATTACACGAAAAACTCTTCACTACTCAATTCTTCAAAAAAAAATTACAGTTGAAAGCTTTACACAAATTGGCTTTTCTTGTAGCCAATTCCTTTCCTGAAGGAATTACTGTTTAAAATTTTACCCAGATTGATCAAATTAGTTACCCTTTGAATAGAAAACCGTCTTATTCCTTTCTCGAAACCTCCTCAAGCAATGTATTAAACCTCAGATTTCTAAGAACCTCCTTCGACTTGGTTACCAAGGGTATGTTGCACAAGTTGCCTCAATGACGTCTCAGAAGGTGTATATGGAAGAGGTGTGAAAATATGCCCTGTAGTCTATATTACTGTAGGGTTAAGAAAATGAGGAAAACAAAAGGAATAACTATGTAGTCATGAGAAACTTATGAGGTTCGAACCTGCGTCCCCGGATTTCCAAGACACAGACACTTTACAGACAGATCCACGATGAGCTCATAGGTACATTACATTCTTGTCGATTCATTGTGCAATTTATAATCAGGTTGAGTGCGTGTATTCCTGAGAAGCAAGGTAAACATTGCTTATACCTTATACAAATTATTCCCTCCCAAATTAAAAACAAATCTTTATTTAGTGAATATATTATTCAATTCAATTGCATATAGCATTCTGAATTTTTAATGGTCTTAGATTTTCGTAATGTCTGAAATTATGTATCCCTCATACTCCCAAGCAAGCATAAGAAATATTGCCGGAACAACTGTGGACATTTTCAAGAGGAAACTAGATTTCTTCCTGCAAGGAGTGCCAGACCAACCGGGCTGTGGTGGGTATGTGGGCCTGCGGGCCGCTCCAAGCAACAGCCTGGTGGACCAAACTCTCACAAGTCAAGCTTGGCCTCGGGCCGGGCTTGGGAAGTAGAAGAACTCCCAGAACCCCATCAACCAGGTATCAACCAGGTATCCTCAAATACACAGTATTCCATTTGCAGGAGCTCTCTTGCAAAATAAAATCCCATTGACGGACGAAAGTTAAAAACTAATCATTTAACCTGTGTTTTCCCCTTTTCCCAGAACAATGTAAATATGTTTCAGATCATTCTAATATGTCGAGGAAAGTCTTCTGATGCTGAAATATTCCCCCTCGGTCATTTTTGTTATTATGACCGAGTACAATTAATATTGTTCCAGATTTATACAACATATAAGCACTGGGTTCTCGTGTCCACTACGGGCTCACCATAGCCCGAGCTACTTGGAATTTTTTGTTCCAAGTAGCTGAATCTAAAACAATAACAACTCGGGAGCTCCTCCGCTACTGCTACTGCTCCTTGCGCTCTCTGTGCCGGCACCACCACCACCTTAACTACTTCATTAACATCAGCCGTAAATTCATATCCGTAAATAATTATTTAGCTTTTTTTCTGTTTCACAGTTCCGTAGACTATTAGACTCGTGAACATAGCACTTGAATGATGACATTAACATTATTTAATAATATACAGAAATAAACTAATAATGGTTTAAAAATAAATTCAGGTCTATTAAATTTTGTTTTGAAAGAGATGGTCTCACTGTGTGAGGCTACTTCCCGTGTCAGTACTCGACGTAAATTAAGACGTTCAGTTGACTTGCAGAGGTGACGTATCGTTGCACACACATATAACTTGCGTTATTACCTCCAAACTATTTCGGGCTTTTCATGCCCGTGCCACCTCTTGGGTGGCGTAATCTTCATCAATCTCCAAACTGAAAATGCAGTCGCAGTGTGAAGAGTTTATTGTTGGACATGTTGTCTGTTTTCATATTATAAAAATTACTGGACTCACTTATGGATTTAAAGATTTGTCAAATATATTAAGGCCTGATTTTCAATAAGAGTAAGCCAAAATTTTACAGCAGACTTACGGATAATTTGTGCTCATAAACCAAGTTAAATTCCATTTATTTGTGTGTAAAATAGTAAGTTAAAATAATATTTTATGTTCTGCTTCCGATTTTAAATATTTAATCAGTTTTTTTTTATTAATATTCATAATTAAGTTTCATCAAGGACCTTAACAGAGATTTTTTTTTTTTGGCTTGCCCAAGCATGTTTAGCCCCCGGCGAGGCGCTATGGTCACGCTTCATTGTCCATTGACTTTAACTTCTCGTGACACTAAGAATCTATAAGTCTCAATCATGAACCAAATTTTTAGATTTAGACATTTGATCAACAACTTCAAATTTTTCTCTATATGTATTTTAGCTTATCCAGCATTTTCACAATTATATAGGATAAAGTCAGATTATTATCAGTTATAAGTGCATTGTTGCTTGGCAAGGGAGAAAATAATTTATGTTGTCAGACTCTGAAATGAGAGAAATTTGATGCGATGCGGATTGAAAAAAGCTTTTTTTTACAGACAGCTTTAATGTCCTGTGAAAAAAAAGTGTATTTCGAAAGATTTTACTTAAAATTTATACGGAAATAGAGGCATCAGTTTGTCCGGAAGATGGCCAAAGACAGAGGCTGTACATTAGATGAGATTGAGGCTATTGCCGAGCGAATATATATATATATATATATATATATATATATATATATATATATATATATATATATATATATATATATATCACTTTATCCTCATATAATTGACCACGTTCTTAGTCTATCTCATATCCTTTCCTAGTGATACATAGTCGCACTGGCTTGGCGCTTTCTTCTCATCATCATCATTATTAGTATTGCACAATAAAGAAGGAAGATGAATCTGGGGATGATTTACGCATGGACTATGCCCCAGCAACACAAGAGTCCTCTTTTGGAATGATGCAGCAGAGTACAATGACGACCAAGTATAATGTAGCCGTATAGAAACAGATCATCATATTAGTGGCCAGTATTAGTGGCCAGTGACGTCAATTAGTGGCCAGTGACGGCAATTAGTGGCCAGTGACGGCAATTAGTGGCCAGTGACGACAATTAGTGGCCAGTGACGGCAGTTAGTGGCCAGTGACGACAATTAGTGGCCAGTGACGGCAATTAGTGGCCAGTGACGGCAATTAATGGCCAGTATTAGTGGCCAGTGACGGCAGTTAGTGGCCAGTGACGACAATTAGTGGCCAGTGACGGCAATTAATGGCCAGTATTAGTGGCCAGTGACGACAATTAGTGGCCAGTATTAATAATCCTGGCCAGTGGATTAGTGCAATGAAAACTATGTTGTACAAAAAGGAAATGGAGATCAATTCTCGTATTTAAGCATCAACAAGTATGAGCTGTGAGAAGATCTGAGATAAACGTTATCTTGACCCACCCAGTGTACGAGGCGGCCTTTTCCTCTCAGCACCTCAGCCTTACTCTCCTCTCAGCACCAGGATCTCAGCCTTACTCTCCTCTCAGCACCAGGATCTCAGCCTTACTCTCCTCTCAGCACCAGGATCTCAGCCTTACTCTCCTCTCAGCACCAGGATCTCAGCCTTACTCTCATCCCAGCACCAGGATCTCAGCCTTACTCTTCTCTCAGCACCAGGATCTCAGCCTTACTCTTCTCTCAGCACCAGAATCTCAGCCTTACTCTCCTCCCAGCACCAGGACGTCACTCCTCCTAGGTGCTCCTCCCAGCATGCTCAACAGCTCCTTAGAGCCAAAATTAGCCGTAAAATTTATTTCCCTAATTAATTCGCCATGAAGTCGTGCTATGTCAAGGCTCATGACAGCCATAAGTCAGGATCATACGTTGACTCATAAGGGTCTGACACGGTGCCAAGTTATCGTTGTTGTGATGGCACTCCGCTCTCTGGGGTGCCGTGCTGGGGATCGCCCATATTATAACCGCTTGTCTGAGCCTGGGATTAGGTAAATGTATTGAAGGAGTTTGAATTGATTGAGTGTGTGTACTCACCTAGTTGTACTCACCTAGTTGTGTTTGCGGGGGTTGAGCTCTGGCTCTTTGGTCCCGCCTCTCAACCGTCAATCAACAGGTGTACAGATTCCTGAGCCTATCGGGCTCTGTCATATCTACACTTGAAACTGTGTATGGAGTCAGCCTCCACCACATCACCCCCTAATGCATTCCATTTGTCAACCACTCTGACACTAAAAAAGTTCTTTCTAATATCTCTGTGGCTCATTTGGGCGCTCAGTTTCCACCTGTGTCCCCTTGTGCGTGTTCC